AAGGAACTTATTGAGAAGTTGTTGCAAACTGAAATAAATATATTCCGCTCAATCAGAGATGGAAGTGCTCTGATGCAGCATATGGAGGATTTCTATTACATCACGTTACTAGAGGTACAGTTGAATCTCATAAAACTATTCAATTTATCACTTGCCTAATTCTTTTGTTCTGCTATTATCATTCCTGTCTAGTTTTATAGAGTAGCTCGGATGTTTTTTTTTGGAAGTAGTCTATTATAATAGTTGTAGAAATGTCGGATAGTATTCATATGAATGAATACTTGTGTCACGAGCAAAACTAATGAACATATTATATATTGAAAATGCATCTAACAATAGTAATATTAAAAGAGTGAAATCTACAAATTGGAAATTGTACTCTACTGCATTATTTCTTTTACAAAAGAAAATTCTTTAAGAACTAAGAAATGCATATTTTGATATTCCTTATGGTCTTTTAACGAAATTATCATTCAGTTTAGGTGTACAATAAACACCTTGCCATAAGTATATTAATTTTGTATATCACTAATGAACCAATATGTGTTTATCCTGTAATTATGTTTTTAATTCATACAGTACAGCTCGATATTTCACGATTGGTTGTCATACCTCGATATATGAAAATGCATAAAGCTAATAGATGCATTATCTAAATCATAGGTAGGAGATTGGGTAGGTCAACCAAATTGACTTTCTTTTCTATGATTAAAGATCAAATTGATGTTCCACTTTGTTTAGAGGACCAAATTAACATCAGTTGGTTAAGGGGGACTAAATTTGTTTAATGATTTCATCATGCAGTTTTCTTTTCTTATTAGTTCGTTCTTTCATTTTATCTGATACTAATGTTTCGTACTGTATTATTATTTAATTCAGAATGTAAGATCAAATTACCAAGCAGTCCCAAGGTCAGAACAAGATCAAAACTATAGTTTATAATGATCCAACAAGGGTTTGCTGTGGCTAGCTTCAGTCTCCGGTACCCAATACTTGATAAAATTGTATATAGGTGTTGAGAAGAGCATACATGTACATTTGAGATCGCTTGCGGGCTTGCGGGCTTGCAGCCAATTCTTTTATGGTATAGTAGACTGTACTATGTTAAACAACTGCTTACATGCATTTTATTTACCTTTTTAAAAAAAAATTAAGATAATCACTTTGTTGGATTGCAAAAGTTGTATAAAAAGCTGTTTCTTGGATCTACTGTGAAATGACTGAACCTTATTAGTTGTTTTAGTACGTCATTTCACTCAACTTTGCTATATTTCCACTTGAATGATAAACTGCATCTGCAGTTGCTTCACATAGCATAAGCATTCACCTTAGTATATCCTGAATTTCTGTTTTTGGAACTAGTGTAATGGGGAGTGGACCTATTCTGCTAAAAATAATTATATGACAATGTTACAATCTCGCCGTTTTTTTTACTACAATTTTTAACAGTCATTATTTAATGCTAATGGAATTTAATGAAAGGTTACGATCCTCTACACTAATCCCTATGTAACTTGTTAGGAAACAGATTTTATTTAGTTTTTTAATTTCATTATAAAGTTTTAAAATGGTCGAAGTCATTTTCCAGAACTTGTAAGAAGAGAGTGAAACTTGTTTATTCTTTCCTCAGTAATGAACTTGAATGTGGCTATTTGTTGCATGATTAATATCCTCTGGAAGAAGATTTTCTGTCTTATTAATAAAACCTACTTGAATTGGCAGCCAAGGAAATGGAAGCTATGCAGTATGTCCTGTATATTTTTCAAATGGAACCGACAAGGAAATGTGAGTTCCTAGAGACTGAAGAACAAAAATTCTTAACAACTTCTGTTGTTTAGGTATTATATTTATTTGGCTTGTGAAAATAATATTATAGCATGAATGTCAAATATTCAAAGACATCTAATCCTTGTTCTGATATCAAGAATCTATAGTCTCATGCAGAATGTAATTTATGTTGTAAATATGCACATACAAACATTTTATGTTGTTCAAAGATTCAGTTGTTGTGGTTGAGCATAGATTGATTTGCATTGCCAGTTTTTATTGGGATTAAGTGCCACGTTACCATTTATTGAAGATGTAAAAGATAGAAGGTAAACAATGATTTTGTTTATGATTACTTGTTAATACAACTAGAGGTGAGTAAAATAAGAGGCGCTGAGCCGAGCTTTTTTAATCGAACTGATAGACACAACAAAGGCAATTTCGATCAAAAGTTATTTTTCACTTATTTTATTCTTAAAAAAATTGGTTTTCAAATTATCTAATTGAAGTTATTTAACTTTTCGATTTCGAATTTATGGAGCAAAACGGAACATCGTTAGGATAAATAGTTTATTTACATAGTTAGGTTTAATTATCACATCCGAAATGTATGTTTTGAAAAATAAAATTTTATCATGATTCTATCTTTAACCAGCATTTCACAACGAAAAATAAGTATTTAAATTATTTTTAGTTTCAATTAAGCAATAAGGTATACTTAAACATTTTGTTTGAACTTTGTTAATGGTAGATGTAATTAAGTATATGTTTGATGTATAATAATCATTTATTAAAGAGATAATGAACATTAATATGTAATTAATTATAATTATTTTTCAAATAAGTTTATACTAGGATCATTATGAATTTGAGATCTAAATTATGCTGATGCTTTAAAGTTCATTTATTATTTGTCATGAAATTTTATTAAAAAAAAAATAAAAAATGAATGCAAAATATGAAGAAATCAGACCAAGCACATCATAAAAACTACATATAGACCTTATAATTATTTCAACTCTACTCATATCTATTTCACATCTACAAGGTTGACTACGGAGATTAATAATATTAATTTTTCCTTTGTATATATGCTCAATTACCTTAACAATTAAGAGAGTTCAAACAAAAACTAATGGAATTCATGTTTTTGTACTAAAATTATCCTTTTTCTTATTATACTAAAAGTAAAATATATCAATATTTATTATTATTTACTGAATTACTTTCTATGGGATGGTTCCTATATGAAAAAGATAAAAATATTGGATGACTTAAGAGTTTTATATTTAGACATGTCATGATTTAAACATGACGTGATTTAGGCATTTCCTCCTGTTACTACTAAAATGCATACATGTAATCGACTTGCTAAATTATGTTTATTAAACGAAAGAATTGGACAAATAAAATAAAAGTTTTATATTTCAAGAGGAAAAGTAATGTGAAACTAGCATAATCATCAAATGACGAGTGAATCTAATTAGGATAAATAATAAGCTCAATAGAATAATTATTGATGTTGTTTATATGCAATACAATAAAGGAAAAAAACAATTGGTTTAATAGCACTGGTTCCTATTTTCGTCAGGTTTGTTCGAAATGATCCTAGTTTTTTTTCCTGTTTAATATTATCCTAAAGAATGTAATTTATGTTCAATTTACTTTTTTTGCAGACGGCGTTTAAATTGTTAACGACCCACTGTTCAATTGTGCAAAACCCAAATGAGATGGCATTTAACCGCCCATGTGATTTCCTTCAAACACAATGAGGTGGATTCTAAAAGAAATGTCATTTATTTAATGAAACCCAATTTTTGATGAGGGTGGATTCTGAAATTAGGGTTTTTCACTTTTCTTCTGTGAAAGCCATAGTGATGTTCGAGGTTAAGCAATTTTCTTCCCAATCTTGGTGGTTGATGAGCCATGTTTGCTTCCCAATTTTCTTCTTCTTCTTGTTACAATAGCTTGGGCTACCGAAGTTGTCATTCCTCACATGGTCATGGTTCAATGGGGGTAGGGATAATCCCATTTGCAATAATCTGCAGGTTAGGCCTCAAAGACACAATCTACAACAAACTAGACCCCAACAAGCACCACTTCTTAAAGCTTCCAAAATCAGAAGGCAATAACCCTATTTTCCCCACAATTTCTACGCATTACCAAATCCACTCTTTGTCGCACCATCTCCACTATTCACAAAAATCTTAGCCAAGGGGGTTATCCAACACAAATATACAAATATAACTAACACTTGATTTGCATAAAGGATCGCATGAGTAAAGCCCCAAAAACCCAAAAAAAAATGCTCAATTTCTTGTCCAATCTCCTAGATGCGGATCTCTCAAACGTGACCTAAATGAGTGGCGTCCCCCACATGTAAAGACTCAAAATGGATAAAAGAATGAGAATGAAATCCCCGTTGGTGAAGAACCCATTATTTGGGGGTGATTGGACTTATTCCTCTTCTTGAGTTTGAGGACGATTTTGGAGGAGAGGGGTTGGTAGCCATCGATGTCGGGGCGACGAATGACAACTCTGAGGCCATTGGATTGGGGTTGGGAACCAAGGTAGAAGTAGGTCTAGAGAGCGTGAAGGAAAAGGATGAGAATTTTGAAGAAAACGAAGGTGAAAGAGGCTGGGTTCCCAAATTATTAAACATGGAAGATGATGAAGTGACTAGGATGAAGATTACGAGAGACAGCCACATCAGATAAAATAGCTTACATCAATTACTTATTACTGACTTTGACACGTGTCGTTAATGATTTAAACGCCGTTTGCAAAAAGGACTAAATTGAATATAAATTACATTCTTTAGGACAACATTAAAAAAAAAAACTAAGATCATTTCGAACAAATCTGACAAAAAAAGGGACCATCAGTGCTATTAAGCCAAAACAATTTTAGTGCAAAAATTTTAGTGTTTCTAGTTTTGTTTGAACTAGTTAATGGTTAACGTAATCAAGCATATTTAATCTTTAGTAATTGTCATGTTTTAAAGGAAAGATTAATATTAATTATACAATTAACTTTTCATTAATATGTAGTTAAAACTATGGATACAGAAAACACTTCAGTAGAATTGGTGTAATTAACATTAATACATCACGGTTATTAAAAACCAAACACATATTCAATTATTCTAGCCATTAACCAAGTTAAGAAAAAATAAACTAAAGAAATTAAAATTTCTATATTAAGACTTTTTTTACTATGCTAAAAATGAAATATGTCAATGCTTATTGTATTGAACCAACTATTTACTGATCTTGGATGAACAATTTTTGTATTACTAAAAGGATATACGACATGATGGTGCTTTGTAAATTGACATACATCATACTTGAAGACTCTTTGAAAAATAAAGGAAACATAAACATTAAAACATAAAAAGATATATGTCTTAAACAACAAAGGAGGACTCGAAAGTACTGTAAGACTGGAGTCAAAAGGTAATCATTTGTCTTCTAGTACCATCCTTGCTTCTCAAGACTTCAAGGCAATACAATCTTCCCTATTCCTTAACAATTTCAATTGTCGTCTGTGACAAAATCCTAAAAAATACAATAAGGAAGAAAAAAGGTTACAAAACAACTTAGGTCATTGAACATAAATAAGGTTATTACAAAGTTTTAGAACATGAAAGATATCTTTAAAGTTGAGAGATGAAAAAAAGATAAATATTGTTGTCCGGTTATTGTGGTACGAATGTCTTGGCAATTATTATGATTACTAGAAAGAGAAACATACAATATTAAAAAAGACGAATGAAGGCTCATATGGTTTGTTTCGCCAAAGTGTAACTCGATTTTTTACATATAGTTTTAGAAACATCATCTATGAAAAAACCCTTTTATCAATAGTCATATCTAGCATCCAACACACTATTATCTGAAAGGGTTTAATTTCAAATATAAATGGAAATATACTATTTATTCTTCAAAAGATGTCAAAGATTAACAAAAGCATAATAGTGAGCAAGAATTTGAACTATTTTGCAGTAACTATACGTTGTTTGATATACAAAGATCAAAATATTTGCTTGAGATAAAAGATTGGCTTTGCAACAAATACTTTATAAAGTCTGTAAAAGAAAGAAGATGCAAATACAAAATATAAAATCTGATCAAGCGAAAATATTCTTTCATTATATACCTTTTAACCTTAGAGAAAACAATTATAATATCCATGAAGTTACATTCTCAACTATCAGTGTTTCATTAGATATAGTTTTTGTAATCCTATGATGTTTCCTCAAACATATTTTTTTATCGTAATCAGGACTCGTGAAAGCTAGTGTGGAAATATTCATTCCCGATAAAAGGTCAAAGTGTTGTAATGTTGTGAAATTGAAACTAATTTGGTGAAATTCTTTAAACTTCCGAGAAAAAAATGACATTGGTATAAAGTACATGACTAGTAATGTCTCTTGTCTTGTACTTTACAAATTCTTCTAAAAAGTTTGACAAGCACAAAGTGGTTAAGGTGTTTAATCTAATGATATGCAACTAAGACGTTGACCATAATAAAGACTTAGAACAACAATGAATAGAAATTCACCTATGAATGATTCTCTAACCAAGTGAGTAATGACATTAAAATAAATTAGTATTGAAAAAGAGTTGAAGTAATTATTCATCATATACATAGATATATAATCTTTTATAACTTTATTTTTTAGGTAATAATATATTAAGGACAATAAGACATAAGTGAATTATTAGGCTTTATCTCATAGTAGTTACTAAGTTGTTAATAGTAATTAGTTTATATAATATCAAGTATATTACAAAAGACACATGTACACAATTATTTTATCAAGATAGTTGATTATTCACTTGTACTAATTGATTACTTACTACAAATAATCTACTATTTAGGAATGAACATGTTTTTACTTACTAAACTAATTTATTATTTTAATTGATAATTAATTATTAATCTCTACTGTTCTTAAATTTAACATTCACAATTTGACTGATTAGCATATTGCTGACCTTTGCTCCCAATTTTTTTTTTTTCAAATATTTTCAGAAGTGCGTGTGGTTAGGCATCAAATAATATGAAACTCATTCTGATTTACAATATCAAATGCACATATCATAAACAATCCAACATTAAATGCAACAACATACACCCTAATATAACAATAAGTACTTCAGGGGAATATCTAAAATAACTCCAGGTTCAAACATAATTTCTATCGGCTAAATGTGAGAATATTCAATCTAACTTGTCCAAAACCAGTGAGAAACTAATTTCATCAATCTACTAGAATAAACTTTTGACATGAACTAAAGCAATTTGGATCAGCACATTTTTGAATTAAATACCGAACAAAGTAAACAACAGAAATTCAAGTACACGAATAAGATTCAAGTTGTTGTCATTCTGTGATTTAAGTTAAAGAAAATGGCCGCCTCCATAAGAAAATGAAGGTTCCATTAGAAACCACACCAACCAATTCTGTTAGTAATTGTGACCTTCCATCCGCTAGCTATAATGCTTTCTTGGCACATAAAAAATGTGCTTATTCTCGTTAGATCTTCCAAATCAAGCATTGTAACATTAATAAAAGTTAATCACCACTATAAATTGCAGTAAGAATTGCTTTAGATACAAATTTACAAGAGGGAGCAAGTTAGTCAAGGGGAGAAAACCAACGCTAAGTATTGCTTACAAATTTAGCTCGTAATCTTTTACAATATTATCAAATTAGTTTTCTCATGAATAACTGATATTTTTTACTTTAATTTACAAGAGTACACTCCATGTACACTTTGTTTTACTACAAAGGAAGCCTCAAAACAAATGGCTAGAAGCATCCTTCCCATCCCCCACATCTATGACAGTGCCTCAGCTAAAACATTCAGAGGATACAAGAAACTCGCGCAAGATTTATCTCCCATTCATTTGATTCAAAAAAACATTGAAATCTCAACTCACTAAATTTCAGTAATGAATACCCGCTTAATACTTTTTCACTTACTCGCTTAAAAGAAAACCAAAAAACTTCTCATAATTTAAAATTTTGGTTCACAACTACAATTGCGATCACGTTGTCATTGTGGAATTGCTCACAACAGCAACTGTCCACAATTGCTAAACGAATGTAAATCACAAAACCAAAATGCATTCGCAACTTTGTAATGCAACCACAACAAAGTCGCAAAAGAAAATCAACACCATTTTATTTCACCTTTTTATAAAAGACACAAATTCAAATTTCAATCTTCTTTTCTAACTACTAAATGCTAGTGGTTGAATGAGTGCTACCGTGTCAGATGTTGAAAGAATGCAGAAGGCACTTCTGGATGGTTCCTTGGGAAGCCTCATGATTCATTGACGAATAATTGTAAAAAGATGTATCAATAGTTAAAATAATTGTATATTTCTTTTTCTCTGTTATTTATGTGCAAACATATAATAAGTTCATACAGCTGCACCAGCTGCAATGAACAATCCAGCAGCACAATACCCGAAATTTAGAACCAATTCCGTTCCAAGAAGACTGTTAAAACAAACAACAATTAAAGAAAATTGAGACAAAAATCACACAATAATCAAATAAAACCGAAGTACAGTTAATGACCAAACACAATTATCATATTAACACAATTACCAAACACAATAGATTACACCATGTTCTTTTATTTATTTTTCGATTCCCTTCACCATCACAGAGAGGAAAGTTCAAGATAAAGAAACCCTAACCCGGAAATTATTTAACCCTTACGTAATGATTAGTTGATATCAGCATCATCGAAATCGTCTTCGAAGTTGTTGAAGAAATTCACATCGGCAAGTTTGAGGTCGGCGGTGATGACACCCTCGGCGAAGGTCTCGAGAGGGTCGACGTCGTCGACATCCATCGCCATTGACGACACCTGCTCATCCATCTCCCCGAATAGTTCCATTGCTCTCATCATCTTCTCTGACATACACTCTGAAAAATTACACCCTTGAAATTAGGGTTTTTATATATAGAATGTTCCTCATTATAAGTATAATATTATCCTTTTATATAATATTATTCATATTAAATATTTAAAAAACTAATATTTTGGAAATGGTAAGACAAAACTAAATTAGAATAGTTTAAAACACAATTCGAATTTGTTTTAAAGATTAAGTGGAATCTATTTTTAAATTCAATTTTTTCTGCATCAACTTTGAACCAAAGGTAAGAGTTGAATTGAATCATATTCACTCTTGTCTTATAAAAAATAAAATGTTGAAATAATAATAAATTTTAATTATATATTTATATTTATAATATACAAAAAACGAGATGTTAGAAAAATTCAAAAAATATTAACCTAATGATAATGAAAACTTATATTGAGAATAAACATTTTCTTGGTTTTGAATGTTATTTCAAAATAATAAGATATAATATTAGGATATTGAGTGTGTGTTCACTCTAAATGATTAAAGTAAATTAATAAATTTGAAAAGATTTAAGAATGAATTGATTGTTGGTTTTTAGGAAATTTGGAAATGAGTGAGAGTAGATTTCAAAATAAAGTTTGTGAAAATTAACGAGAGTAGATAAAAAAAATTGTTTAATTAGTAGAAATTGAAGATTACCAAAATATCTCTAATTATATAAGTAATATAAAATTATAATTGTTAATGTTATATTTAATTGTAAAAATGTTTATAAGAAGAAGAAAAATATAAATTAATTTTTATAAATTATATCTATATTTTAATTTGAATTTCAATATTTAAAAAAATGTTTTTTATATGCTAATTAATAAAGTGAATAATATTAATTTTTTTTGTAATTATGTATTTTATATCCTGAGTTATTATAAATTTAAAAGAAATAATAATTAGGTTATTAAAAAGTTAAAATTAAAATTAATTTCAATATATGTAAAAAAGTTAATTACACGCTTTAAAATTATCTTAAATAGTTAAATTAAAATAAATACGGTTTCTTATATAAAAATTGTTACATAATAAGAAATGGTTAAATTTAACTAAATGACTAAAATTATGTAATATGAAAATAAAAAAAATAACAAAGGAAAGTTACACTTTAACTATATATATAATGTAAAAATAAAAGAATTTTGATATTAAAAAAAACATTATATAAAATATTTTGTCCAAAGCAGGGTTCCCTTCCTATTTTCAAAACTTTCACTCAATTCTTCCTATCCTCTTTTTTCCCATTCCAGGAACCTTCGCTAGGGTTTTCATCTAACTTTTCTTTTGCAAATCTCAATATCATTAATTTGGCCTTCCATTATTTTTACTAACTTTTAATTTTCTTTTTCTTCGCCATTTGTGTTTTTGAAAGCCCCATCTTCAATCTCCCACCTTTGTTTTTTCTGTTTTTTTTTTTCAGAAAACGCAACTTGTAGCAAAACTACTTATGTTTGCTGTGAAGTTGGGCATGGAGGAGTAATTGTGATTTGTTATATAGTGCTGAATGCTGAATGTTTTTCATGTGGTCTGTGCTTGGTTTTATAAGGGTTTTTACTTTCAAATCTCATTGTATTTCCAAAGATAAAAATAGCGATTTATCTTGTAAATTTGCGCTAATTATTTATTCCAAATCTCTTGCAAACGCAGTTAATCTCACAAATTTATCTTCTCCAATTTCTCTTAACAGTATTTTCTTTTCAAACGAACACAGTATTAAAAAAAGTCACATATACAAATTCAAATCAATATGCGGAGTCCATATATTTTGGCTGACACACAAGTTAAGATTAAAAGTTGTCATAGATCATAAAGTTCACATAAGAAAAAGTATTTAAAAATATTATTTAAAAATGAAAATGAAAAAAAAAATTATACACATAAAAACATTCACTCAATCTAATTCCATGTTCTATGTAAACAAAGTCTAGTTGAACTTAGGTAAAGTTGAATTAATTAAAAGATAATTTACATACATTAAACTTTATTAAAATCATATAAAAAATTTGATATGTTTTTGTTGGGTCAGACCTATGTTGATCAAGTTATGTCACATTTAGTTAATGTTGAGTCGGGTATGGACCAAGTTTATTGGATATGGACCAAGTTTGTTTGAGATGGCCCTAAGTCAGGATGTATAAAGTTAGATTGGCTCAAGTTGAGTAAGTTGTTTGAGTTGGATTAAGGTTAAGTTAGATCTAGGTCAAGCTAAGGTTGATAAGGTTCATGTTGTGTTAAGTTAAGTTGAACCAATGTCAGCTGAATTGAGTTAGACCCAAATCTATATGAGTCAAGTCTATGCCATGTCAGGTTGTATCTAGTGAGTTGATTCATACACACCATGGATCGAGTTAAGTGAGACCCATGTTGGACCATGTTAAGTTTGGTCACATCAAGCCAACTCGAGTTGGGTTCACGTTAGGTGAGTAGAGTCAAGCATATGTTGGACCCATATCAAGTTGAGTCAAATTAAGTTTATTTTGGTTCCACCTTGAGCTCAATTAAGTCGAGCTCACCTTGAGTTGAGTTAGGTCAGGTCCATGTTAGGTCTAGTTGAATATAGTTGTGTCCATGTTAGATCAAATAAAATTGTTCCAGCTCAAGCTAAGTCAAGTTGAGTTTGCATCAAGGTAGGTCTAAATAGAGCCACATAGGGATAAGTCATGTTAGATCCTCATTAGACCAAGTTGAATTAGGAAAACTCGAGTTGAATAGAGTTGAACATGTTTGAATTACACCTCCTTCGACCAAATCAAATTGGATCATCTCGTATCAAGTCAAGTCTAATCAATTTTTAACTAGTTAATGCAGTTTAAAGACATAATAAAGAATAAATAACACAAAGAAACCCATCAGAAGATATAAATTTAAGATACGAGCAATTATCAAATAACTATTTATTAGAAAGGTTGTTATGATTGATATTATTAAAGATGAATAAAATTATAGTGTATTAATTAACCTTTTTCTTTTGCTCAGTTAACAATTTATCTTTTGATAAAAATTAATTTATAAGATATTTGGGTTAGAACACGACTCGTCTATTGAGATATATTATTTAACTCATCCATTAAGATATATTTTTTAGGAGTATTTTTGACAATTTCATTTAATTAAGAATTAAATATAGAATTAGTTGAGTTAATCATTAACTTAATATGTTTTAGGTTTAATAGCTTATTTTGTTTCCAGTTTTGCTAAATAATGTAAATTCAGTGTCTCATTTTAAAAATGCTTGAAATTGGTCCTCATTTATTAAATTTTGCCTCAACATGTCCGTTAAATACGTATAAATGACTTTAACTTTTTTCTCTAAGGATCAATTTTAAATACTTTTAAAACAAGAGATTGAATTGACATTATTAAGCAAAACTGGAGACAAAATAGACTATTAAACTTATGTTTTNCACTTCTGGATGGTTCCTTGGGAAGCCTCATGATTCATTGACGAATAATTGTAAAAAGATGTATCAATAGTTAAAATAATTGTATATTTCTTTTTCTCTGTTATTTATGTGCAAACATATAATAAGTTCATACAGCTGCACCAGCTGCAATGAACAATCCAGCAGCACAATACCCGAAATTTAGAACCAATTCCGTTCCAAGAAGACTGTTAAAACAAACAACAATTAAAGAAAATTGAGACAAAAATCACACAATAATCAAATAAAACCGAAGTACAGTTAATGACCAAACACAATTATCATATTAACACAATTACCAAACACAATAGATTACACCATGTTCTTTTATTTATTTTTCGATTCCCTTCACCATCACAGAGAGGAAAGTTCAAGATAAAGAAACCCTAACCCGGAAATTATTTAACCCTTACGTAATGATTAGTTGATATCAGCATCATCGAAATCGTCTTCGAAGTTGTTGAAGAAATTCACATCGGCAAGTTTGAGGTCGGCGGTGATGACACCCTCGGCGAAGGTCTCGAGAGGGTCGACGTCGTCGACATCCATCGCCATTGACGACACCTGCTCATCCATCTCCCCGAATAGTTCCATTGCTCTCATCATCTTCTCTGACATACACTCTGAAAAATTACACCCTTGAAATTAGGGTTTTTATATATAGAATGTTCCTCATTATAAGTATAATATTATCCTTTTATATAATATTATTCATATTAAATATTTAAAAAACTAATATTTTGGAAATGGTAAGACAAAACTAAATTAGAATAGTTTAAAACACAATTCGAATTTGTTTTAAAGATTAAGTGGAATCTATTTTTAAATTCAATTTTTTCTGCATCAACTTTGAACCAAAGGTAAGAGTTGAATTGAATCATATTCACTCTTGTCTTATAAAAAATAAAATGTTGAAATAATAATAAATTTTAATTATATATTTATATTTATAATATACAAAAAACGAGATGTTAGAAAAATTCAAAAAATATTAACCTAATGATAATGAAAACTTATATTGAGAATAAACATTTTCTTGGTTTTGAATGTTATTTCAAAATAATAAGATATAATATTAGGATATTGAGTGTGTGTTCACTCTAAATGATTAAAGTAAATTAATAAATTTGAAAAGATTTAAGAATGAATTGATTGTTGGTTTTTAGGAAATTTGGAAATGAGTGAGAGTAGATTTCAAAATAAAGTTTGTGAAAATTAACGAGAGTAGATAAAAAAAATTGTTTAATTAGTAGAAATTGAAGATTACCAAAATATCTCTAATTATATAAGTAATATAAAATTATAATTGTTAATGTTATATTTAATTGTAAAAATGTTTATAAGAAGAAGAAAAATATAAATTAATTTTTATAAATTATATCTATATTTTAATTTGAATTTCAATATTTAAAAAAATGTTTTTTATATGCTAATTAATAAAGTGAATAATATTAATTTTTTTTGTAATTATGTATTTTATATCCTGAGTTATTATAAATTTAAAAGAAATAATAATTAGGTTATTAAAAAGTTAAAATTAAAATTAATTTCAATATATGTAAAAAAGTTAATTACACGCTTTAAAATTATCTTAAATAGTTAAATTAAAATAAATACGGTTTCTTATATAAAAATTGTTACATAATAAGAAATGGTTAAATTTAACTAAATGACTAAAATTATGTAATATGAAAATAAAAAAAATAACAAAGGAAAGTTACACTTTAACTATATATATAATGTAAAAATAAAAGAATTTTGATATTAAAAAAAACATTATATAAAATATTTTGTCCAAAGCAGGGTTCCCTTCCTATTTTCAAAACTTTCACTCAATTCTTCCTATCCTCTTTTTTCCCATTCCAGGAACCTTCGCTAGGGTTTTCATCTAACTTTTCTTTTGCAAATCTCAATATCATTAATTTGGCCTTCCATTATTTTTACTAACTTTTAATTTTCTTTTTCTTCGCCATTTGTGTTTTTGAAAGCCCCATCTTCAATCTCCCACCTTTGTTTTTTCTGTTTTTTTTTTTCAGAAAACGCAACTTGTAGCAAAACTACTTATGTTTGCTGTGAAGTTGGGCATGGAGGAGTAATTGTGATTTGTTATATAGTGCTGAATGCTGAATGTTTTTCATGTGGTCTGTGCTTGGTTTTATAAGGGTTTTTACTTTCAAATCTCATTGTATTTCCAAAGATAAAAATAGCGATTTATCTTGTAAATTTGCGCTAATTATTTATTCCAAATCTCTTGCAAACGCAGTTAATCTCACAAATTTATCTTCTCCAATTTCTCTTAACAGTATTTTCTTTTCAAACGAACACAGTATTAAAAAAAGTCACATATACAAATTCAAATCAATATGCGGAGTCCATATATTTTGGCTGACACACAAGTTAAGATTAAAAGTTGTCATAGATCATAAAGTTCACATAAGAAAAAGTATTTAAAAATATTATTTAAAAATGAAAATGAAAAAAAAAATTATACACATAAAAACATTCACTCAATCTAATTCCATGTTCTATGTAAACAAAGTCTAGTTGAACTTAGGTAAAGTTGAATTAATTAAAAGATAATTTACATACATTAAACTTTATTAAAATCATATAAAAAATTTGATATGTTTTTGTTGGGTCAGACCTATGTTGATCAAGTTATGTCACATTTAGTTAATGTTGAGTCGGGTATGGACCAAGTTTATTGGATATGGACCAAGTTTGTTTGAGATGGCCCTAAGTCAGGATGGATAAAGTTAGATTGGCTCAAGTTGAGTAAGTTGTTTGAGTTGGATTAAGGTTAAGTTAGATCTAGGTCAAGCTAAGGTTGATAAGGTTCATGTTGTGTTAAGTTAAGTTGAACCAATGTCAGCTGAATTGAGTTAGACCCAAATCTATATGAGTCAAGTCTATGCCATGTCAGGTTGTATCTAGTGAGTTGATTCATACACACCATGGATCGAGTTAAGTGAGACCCATGTTGGACCATGTTAAGTTTGGTCACATCAAGCCAACTCGAGTTGGGTTCACGTTAGGTGAGTAGAGTCAAGCATATGTTGGACCCATATCAAGTTGAGTCAAATTAAGTTTATTTTGGATCCACCTTGAGCTCAATTAAGTCGAGCTCACCTTGAGTTGAGTTAGGTCAGGTCCATGTTAGGTCTAGTTGAATATAGTTGTGTCCATGTTAGATCAAATAAAATTGTTCCAGCTCAAGCTAAGTCAAGTTGAGTTTGCATCAAGGTAGGTCTAAATAGAGCCACATAGGGATAAGTCATGTTAGATCCTCATTAGACCAAGTTGAATTAGGAAAACTCGAGTTGAATAGAGTTGAACATGTTTGAATTACACCTCCTTCGACCAAATCAAATTGGATCATCTCGTATCAAGTCAAGTCTAATCAATTTTTAACTAGTTAATGCAGTTTAAAGACATAATAAAGAATAAATAACACAAAGAAACCCATCAGAAGATATAAATTTAAGATACGAGCAATTATCAAATAACTATTTATTAGAAAGGTTGTTATGATTGATATTATTAAAGATGAATAAAATTATAGTGTATTAATTAACCTTTTTCTTTTGCTCAGTTAACAATTTATCTTTTGATAAAAATTAATTTATAAGATATTTGGGTTAGAACACGACTCGTCTATTGAGATATATTATTTAACTCATCCATTAAGATATATTTTTTAGGAGTATTTTTGACAATTTCATTTAATTAAGAATTAAATATAGAATTAGTTGAGTTAATCATTAACTTAATATGTTTTAGGTTTAATAGCTTATTTTGTTTCCAGTTTTGCTAAATAATGTAAATTCAGTGTCTCATTTTAAAAATGCTTGAAATTGGTCCTCATTTATTAAATTTTGCCTCAACATGTCCGTTAAATACGTATAAATGACTTTAACTTTTTTCTCTAAGGATCAATTTTAAATACTTTTAAAACAAGAGATTGAATTGACATTATTAAGCAAAACTGGAGACAAAATAGACTATTAAACTTATGTTTTAGTATTGTACTTAGAATTCTAATTGTTTTACGGTGATATGTTTTTTTTTACTTTTGATCATGAGTATGTTCTACGAGTCTTAGGTTAGAAAATAAAAGAGTTTAGGTTAGAACAGGAGCTTTAATATTCTCAAACATAGACCTTAAGTCACGATACCATGAAATTACAACAAAATATGAAAACATTCCAAAAAAATCTGTCTTTAAAACTCATCATGAGAGAAAAGAAAATGTTTTATTAAGTTTGATAATTTAGAAGGAATGTCAATTTAAATTATTTATATAATAAATTAAAATTTGATAACTTTTATTAATTTAAATTATACTTACATTTTTAATATTAACATTAATTTTAATAATTAAAAAATTTAATTATGAATTTTACAATTGTATACACTATTAAACTAGTATTTTCTTAAAAAACTAATATAAAATTTGTTAGACCCATAAAAACCCCAACTTAGTGGAGTACACGTGTAAGCTAAAGGGTGTCTGAAATTCAGAAAGTGGAAGACATGTGTGTGATGCAGATTGGACGATCGGTTTTGACGGTAGAAGTAAACATCAAACTTTCAAATTTCGTGCCACTTTTCTGCATGCACTCATCTTCTTCAACCTTTTGAACCTGACTTTTCTCCTCCTTCTCTCTACAAATCCCCTACTTCTCTCTAAGAATTCTCACATTTTCTTTCCCCTGATCAACAATTAGATCACGTTTAAATCTTCTTGGTGTCAAGAGCTTTCTTTTGTACCGATCAAGTTGCTGGTTTGAGTTGGTAAGTTCATCACTCTCATAGCACTGTATTTTCTGGTACATGCAAACCAAGTTTCTGGTTTCATGAGTTATCATCTAATTCTGAACACACTTCTGGTCTTTTGATTCGTTTAGTTTTATAAATAGTGAATCGTAGACTTCTAAGAATTCTGGTGGTGAACGATTCTCTACAATTTGTGAACGTCTGACTACACTTAGAGGTAAGGGAAGCTTATATAATTTGATTATGATTTTGTGTTTGAATGATTGAATGGTTGTTGATCGTTGGATGAATATGAAGCATGTTTATTACTGCATGTTTGGTGGTGTGAATGTATGAGTTTTAAATGATGAGGAAATGGTTTGAGATATGGTTGTGATTTTAAAGTCTGCAGTATATTGTGTAATTCTGTGTTGTCAACCGAGAGTCGTTTATTGACCGTTCGGTTATCCTTGAGCATTCGGTCTGGACTGAATTCTTCTTCTGTGGAGAATTTCAGTTAATAACCTATCGATTTTCCCTTAGTGTGCTTGTAAGTAAGCGTTCGGTCTAAGTATAGTTCTTCTTTATGTTTCCTAAACAGTTTAGTTAATGTATTCTATAATACGTAAAGTCGTAGATGTTATCGTTATTTTTCACTAAAAATAAGTGTGGCGTAATTGTATATATATATTCCTTCATTTTTATTTAAGTTTAGTAGTGCTCGATCTTGGACCAAGCGTTCGGTCTCAGTAGCGCTCGTTTTTTATAAGTGCTTGGTCTTGGACGTGCGCACGTTCAATATAGTTCTCGGTTTTATACTAATATTTATGATAGTGCTAGCGCTCGGTCTTGTACTAGCCATTAGGATGATGATAGTGCTCGGTCTTGTACTATCC